CCCCTCTGTGCGCCCGTGCCCTCTTGCAGGAGGAAGAGAAGTTGGGCGGGGGCGCGGCTGCCCGAGACCCGCCCTTCCCCCTCCCCCAGGGGAGGGGTCCACGCCCACAGGTGCAGCCCGAAGGAGGCAGGGGTTGGACAGGGTGTCCTCCTTCCCTCCTTCGGAGACCTCGAGGTCCCCGCCGGGGGCCGAGGGCCGGGGGGGCCTTCAAGAAGGCCGGCAAACAACCTCCTGGGCAGAGACCCTCCCCAAGCCCAAGTCACAGAGCTGGAAGGGCCCTAGGGGGACATCTAAGGAAACTGAGGCCCGAGGCGGTCAGAGATTTGCCCAAGGTCACACGGAGAGTCGAGGCGACATTCGAACCCAGGCCCACAGCGTCCTCCGCAGGCACAGTGCCCGTACATCAAGGCTGCAGAGAAGCTGCTGGTTCTCTCCAGGTCCTGGCTGTGCTCAGAGGGCTGATAACTGGATGGCAATACTGGGAAACCATGTCAGCAACAGCAGGTCCCATTTACTGAGGGCTGCCAAGCACATCCCACCCGGGCGAAGCAAGTGCTCTTCTCATCCCCGCTGGGGAGAGGAGGAAACTGAAGGAAACCAAAGTCAAGTGACTCACCCAGGGCCACACGGCTAGTAACTCAGGCCGCAGGCAGTGAGTCCCGAGTTCTCTCCCTATAACACCTTTCTAGGCCAATCCACCCCACTTTTTACGGGTAAGAAAACTGCAGTCCCAGGGAGATTTTTTTTAAAAGTGCCTTCCACAAGCAAGGCCACACAGCTAGTAAGTGGCAGGGCGGCGTATAGTCTGACTCCAAACAGAGTCAGACAGAGATCTTTCTTTTACATTCTGCTGCTCCGCTTCCTTTGTCCTCTGGTTAACTAGACTATTACATAAGCAGTTGGCAAGGGAAAGTCTGATTTGTGATTTTGTTTACTGTAAAATTCTATCACTCTCTTGTCTGGAGTCCCTACCTTAAACTGCTTCCTATTCCACCCCCTTCTCATTTAATAATAACAATAACTTACATTTGTATGTAAGTTACTACATTTACATTTACAATTACAAAGTGCTTTCCTCCCCAACAGCCCTTGGAAATGAGGTAATCCAAGTAATGTCATCCTACTTTACAGATGGGGAAACTGAGCCCAGAGAAGCTAAGTGCCCAAAGTCACAAAGCTGCAAACCAGTAAACAGAGATTGAAACCCAAACTCTCACTTAGATAAGAGAGGATAGATACAACTAGATGGGCAATTTCCCAGGTACAAGAAACTCCCCCCACCAATGCAGGTCAGCCCCCTTCTCTGCAACTCAGTCTTAGGAGCTGCCTAAAACACAAGAGAATTTTAGGGCTTTGTCCAGAGTCACACAACCAGGATGGGCGGCAGTGGAAACTGAACTCAGGACTTCCTGGTTCCTGAGCCAGCTTTCTATAAACCATTGTATCAACTTCTTCACAGCAACCTATCTCAGTGATAACACTTCAATAAGTAGAAACAACCCCCCCCAAAATAAAAGCCCATTAAAGATAACAGATACCCCTTCATTTTCTCTTTCTAGAAAGAGATTTTTGGACCTGTCCCATCCTGACTTTCCCTCTATACCACCCCCCCAAGGGTTATTTATGAAAATATAAGTGAAAACTTGAGGACGGAATTTGGAAAATATTTGAACCCCCAATTTCAATACCCCAGAAGTCATTTCCACCATCCTCAAAAAATTAAATGATCCTTAAAAAACATCTTCTCACTCTCCGATATCTGTCTTTCTCGAAATTCCTGTTATATCTCCAACAGTAATACTGGACTTAAGAGTTCTGAATGTAAGGAACCAACATTTTTGGATTCCCCTCTATTTACACTCAATGGGATATTTTCTGTCTATATACAGAAACATCTTTCTCCCTAGTTCAACACACTTGGAAATACTTATTAGCTTTTTCCCTGCCAGCCCAATTTTAGCTAACATCATAGACTAGACAGTTGTTGCTTTTAAGAATAAAAAGCCGTCAACTGTTTATCCTCTGCATCTCTGAGACATACATTCACATCATCTACCTCCTACTAGGCAAAGTGTTTGCCAGAGTCGCTTTTACACACGTCTATTTGACATCAAATTCTCTTATCCGAAACCACTTGCAATCTGGGCTTTTAGGAAGAAACCACTGTCCAACAGCGTGTGGTTATTAGCCTTTGTTCGGATGATCAAGGCTCTGTGCTTTCCCTCTCCCGTCCCTAAGGCTCATCCTGCCTCTTTCAATACGACAGACAACTCCACCTTTGTGAATGTTCTGGTCCAGCTTCCGATGTATACTGGCTGTGTGACTGTGGGTGAGCTATTTAACCCCTCAACATCCTGGAGTGACCCTTTTAACACTCTAGGTTGCCAGAACTCTATATACCAAAGAAATCACAAATCCTGGACTCCCCCCACAAAAAATGCCAGATATATTGCTAGACCACCTCCTTTCCCCCTTCTAAAGTCACCTCATTTTCCTATCACTCCCAAGGAGCTTGCTCAACTTTCTTCCCTCAAAGGAACCAATGCTGTCTCCTAGGAAAACAACCATAGCCTATCTGCTCTGTAATTCACTGACCCTAAACGCAGCCTAGCCTGCATTTGTCACACTAGCCTTGGCCTGCTTTTTATCCTTGTATAATGGGGATGCTCACCCAAGTACAAAATGAGGAAGCAACTATGCAGAGACACAGCCCTCCCCATCCCCAAAGGTCCACTTCTGCCTTAGTCAAAGAAATACAAGTGGCCCCATAGCATCCTCTGAAGATCAGAACTGGACCAGGACTATCTCAGAGGTTCAGGGCAATCAGTCCTGTGTTCTCATGTCCCAGTCCACCCTTGGCCCTCATTCCTAACCAGACTAGGCCAAAGGAGAGCCTTGGGGACTTCAGAACCACCTGGTGATAAGCAAACTTGCTGAGGCACATATGACCACCACCACCAACTCCTTATACTGCCTATATTTTCACATGCATGGAAATCTTTGGATCCTCATAATCACCCCTTGTGGGAAGAAGGGCAGATATCATTATCCCCATTTTACTAACTAGGGCACTGAGGCCCAGAGAAGTTAAAGCCACTGCCCAAGGGGCCACCTGGCTTACAGGAAGCCAGCTGAGGACTTGGGTCTTTTTACTACACCATAAGCTTTGTCTTAACTGCCTATTGTTGGGATGAAGATAGCTTCCCAGATCACAATTATTCCAGATTCCAGCCGGTAAGGAACACCAGAATAATGAATTCTCAAACAAATCACCTCCTTACTAGAGAAATCAAAGATCATAACAGCCGGTCTTATTTTTAATTTTCTCCAAAGGACTCACCTAGTCCAACCCAAGACACTTATCTCCCTCCTGTCCTCCTTGCAGTAACTGTCTACCTAAGAGTCTACTCCTTTATAACTGAGTTTGATTAGAAATATTTCCCAAAGTGTTATCTGAGGGCTCCTGCCGATTGGCTGAAGATCAATAGCAAAGGAGAATTAAAAGATCATATTAAGAGATGATGGGGAGGAGTAGCTGCTGACAGGGCAAAGCTAAAATTGGGGGGGATTGGGGGGAGGGGAAGTAAGAATAGTATAGAGAGGAAAAGATTTACACTCAAGGCAAACCATGAAAGGAAAGAAACCGTGTCTTGAGGCTTTAGAGCAGGAAAGATAGGATTGCCAGGAAAAAAGCTGAAAGGCTTTCCCTGAACTTTAATGAGTTGAGAGTTCTTGATAAAAAAAAAGGGGGGGAGGGGAAATACTCATTTAGAGGGAGTTTTTTTCTGGTAATTCTTGACAACTCATCAAAATAGCCCTTTTAATTTCAACAGAAAATATCTTCTTTTTTGCTTTCTTGGCCCCATCTATACTTTGTAAGGTTTGTGTCCCTCTGATAAAAGCAAATGATTTCATCATGCTGGATATAGGTACAAAGCAATATTCAAAAATTCTTCTATGCAACAGGTGAAAAGGAAGGAAGACCGTAGTTTTATGTGGATATGAAGCTTTTAGGAAACATACCCAGATGACCGGGGTGGAGGCAACTGAGAGAGGGTCACAGAGAAGTTATAAATAAGAGAGGTAATCAGCAATCTGATTCAGGAGGCCGGCGTTTGAAAGCTGGGCAAGGTGAGGACGAAGTTAGCTCCCTACAGGATTCGAGATGGGGTGGGGGAGGGGTGGGGGGCAATAACAACGGGCCTGGACGGGCTGGAAGTGGGGTCCGGGGGAAGGGGGCACCCACCTCTTGGCGCTGGTGGAGAGGAGCTTGGAGTTCTTGCTCATGCTGACTTTGCTCTCCTTCTTCTTGGGGGTGGTGTTGCTTTCTTTCTCCGTCTGTTGGTTGGAAGATGAGGATGAGGAGGAACTGGTGCTGGCTCTCGAATCGTCATCCGACATAGCGAACCCCCCCACCCCCACCCCACCAACAATCCCTGCGGGAGACAGAAAAGACAAACCATCCGGTAAGTATCCAGGGCCGAGGGGTGCCCAGGGGAACTTGGGGAGGGCCGAGCCTGCCCCTGACGCCTGCCCCCCCCCCGCCCACACCCCCGGGGCCCGACCGCGCCGAGACCGGTTCCCCTCCCTCGCTAGGCCCCCGGCCCCCCAGCATCACGTCCAAGGAAGGAGGGGGGCTTTAAATGGCTCTCCTAGCAGTGGAGAGGAGCCGGAGGATGGAGGAAGGGGGAGGGGGTGCCCACCACGGAAACAGCCCGCATGGGGCTGGGGATCCGGCGGGGGAGAGCCGACTTTAGGGCCGGGGGCGGCCGGAGCGCCCGCTGTGGGGGAGGGGGACGGAGCAGCCGGGGCTGGCTCGGGACCAGGCTCGAAACCTCTCCGTGGAACCCCACAAACTACGCCCCCGCCCCCGGGACCACCCCTCTTTCCGCCGCCGAGCCGGCTCCGGGATCCGGGGCGATGCCGGCGTCCCCTCCCCCAAACTAGGGGTGGAGGGCCGGGGCGGGGAAGAACCCCGACCCCGCGGAGGGGGAGTAACAATGAGCCCGCGGCACGGAGGGCTGAACGCCCGGCCCGGCTGTCCCCCGGGCGGCCAGACCGGGCCGCGGCGCGGGGGAGGGGCGGGGGGGGTCTCCCCGGGACCGTACCTCGCTCGCTCTTTGTGTCTGGCTGCTCGGGGCCGGGGCCGCCGCGGGTGCCGCCGCCGCTCCTCCCTCCCGCCGCCGCCGCTGCCGCCCCTGCGCCGCCGCCGCCGCCCCACTCCTCCCGCCGCTCCGCCCGCTCCTCCCGCCGCTGCTGCCGCTGCTGCCGCTGCTCGGGCCGCCGGGGCTGCGGCGGCGGCGGCGGCTGGGCCTGGCCACTCGTGTCTCTCGCTCGCTAGCTGGCACAGAAGCGGAAGTGCTGCAACAGCAACTATTAAACAGGCAATGGCTTCCCTCGGCCACACTCGCGCACACTCACACTCACGCGCGCGCAGCCCCGCACGGCCCTCCTCCGGGCAAGCCCCCCCGGCCCGACGGGGGAGGCTGCGGCGCACGTGGGAGCGTCGCCCCGACGGCCGGCCCGCGGGGAGCCCGAGGGGCGCCGTCCGAGCGCTGTGCCGCGAGCCCGGGGGAGAGGGGCTGCGCACGGCCGTGCACGTGTGGACGGCCGGCCGGCTGGAGACGCGCACAATGGGCAGCGGGGCCGAGCCCGAGGCGATCGGCCAGCAGCCCCGGACCGAGGTCGGAATCGGTGCGGGAGTGGGAGGGGTGTGGGGAAGCGCTGGCCGGGTCCTGAAACTGATCAGGGTGAAAGCTGTGGAGTCCGGCCGCGGCCCTAGGGCTGCTTGGATAAACCGTCCTCCCGAGCCCTCGGTCCGTTCTGGGGCACACTGGGCGTTTTACGGACGTTCAGTTTCCTTTTCAGAGTGGGGCCATCACAGAGTATCCCAGTCTCTCCGGCCTTTGTGGGTCCCCTTGTAAAGGCACCAGCCCCGAGCCCAGTGGGGTACACAGCCGCCAGCCGCATTTCCTCGGGCCACAGTAAATTATGACCTTGGAGTTGCCATCATTTCCCCTGGCAACAGTGTCTCCAGTTACCGTGGACCCGGCGGGGAGATGCGGCGTCATGGGAGACTGGAGAACCAGAGAAGGCCGCTTCATAGCCCGGCTGACCAGCCGCTTCCACCCTGCCTGAAAGTCCGACTGAGTCCATCATCGTTCAGAACACAAGCTTGCTCTTGCCCAGCCCTTACCAGCAAATCTGCCTGGCCTCTAGAAATGGCGCTGAGCCCAGGAAGCCTCTGGCCAGTTGGGACCTCCAAGAGGTCAGCCCCAGTTGAGTGTCCTGCCTGCACGTGCTGCTTAGCCCAAGACAGGGATGCGTGTGTGTGTCAAGTTTAAAGATCTCCTGGAAGGACCGTTTTGGATCTCCCCCGTGGCCTGCTGCCAGAGACCTGGTGTGCCCAGAAGAGCGTATGGTCAGTGTCCCTGATGATGCAGCGTTTGGGAAGGTCTCTTGGAAATAATCCTGTAGAGCCTTAAAAACAGCAATGTTCACTGGAAGAAGAAAAGTAAAGACTTCGATGTGACAAAATCAAGTGGTGTTTGTCGTTCAAAAAAACCCACGACAACCCACTTCAGGAATGATGGATAGAGATTTGGCCTTGTGCACCTGAATACAAGGCCCTTCACCTCAAAGCGTGCTGGACCAGAGTGTCAAAGATTTGGCGAGAGGCCTATATTTCCCTCTGCTGCCAAACCAGATTAAAACATAATTGGAAAATCTTTAACAAAAGACAAATACAGTAAAACAGATAATATTAACCTGTGGTTTTCCAAAGTCACATGAGACCCACAGGAATTCTGTGATTTAGGGGCCCCTGTTTCTAAGTGAGTTGGGTACCACTGCTCTAGGCAGTTCTCTGAGACATGGTTTCAAAGAAGGTGCTTTCCTACTATGGTGGAGGGAGTTTCTCACACAGGAATCCCTCTGTCAAGGAAATCTTGGGTCCACATGGTCATTTGTGTGGATGTGCTTGCCATGACAATAAAGCATGCTCCCTTGTTGGTGGAGCAAAGAGACAGCATCATAAGGTCTTTCTGTAGTTCGAAGTTTCCTCTGGGGTCCAGAGGTTCCCTCTGACAAGGCCCTCTATGCTTTTTGCTTCCTCCTTTTCACCTACAATTCACTTCTCAGCTCCTAATGGTCTGAGCCATTGGATTACAATGGCCTTTTCAAGGTTATCCATGAGCTCCTTATTGCTAAACTCAGTGAAATGACCTTTCTTCATCCTTGTTGCTCTTGACTTCTGGAAAAGCATTGGACAAGTGTTGATGTCTCCCTCTTTCTGAAAACCCTTTTGTCCCTGGGTTTTGTGGTTTCCTTCCCACCTTTCTAATCATCCTACTCAGGACTCCTTTGCAACACCATCTATGTTCCCCCAGCATCCACCCACAGCTGGATGTACCTCCAGGGCTGTGTTCTGTGTCCCCTCCTCTTTCCTCTATACTCCATCACTGTCCAGATGACTCCCATACATGTATGTCCAGCCCTCGTTCCTATCCTGAGTTCCAATCCAGCATCTCCAACTGTTTGGTGGATATCTCTACATGGTTATGCCATAGGCATTTTATAATCAACATATTCAGAATGAAACTTATCTTTCTCCCAATCCTTTCTCTCCTCCTATATTCCCTGTTACTGTTGAGGGCACCACCCTTGTTTTCATCCAGGCTCTTTACCTATCCGCATCCTCCTCCCATCCCCAGCCGTTGTCCAGAGCATTCATCCCTTTCTTTCTATTCACATCCCAGCCCCCTCTCCCCTGTATGCCTTCCGTGGTCTCTTAATGAGTCTCCCTAGAATCCATCCTTCCCCTCTTGAATCATTCCTTCAAAGGGCTATAGAGCTGACAGTCCTAAAACACAGATCTAACCATAGTCCTTCCTCTTTCAGGACGATTCAGAGGCTTCCTATTGCCCCTGGGATAAAATGCAGACCCCTGTATTTGGCTTTGAAAGCCCCTCCCATTCTGGGTCCAGCCGATCTCTCCAGGCCTGCTTAGTTAGCAATAGCATTCAGTTTAGCCCTGAGCCTTACCCTGGCTTCTCACCCCTCCATCCTCCATCCCTGAAACACTCTCTCTCCGAACTTCTGCCTCTCCTAGTCCCCAGCTCCCTTCAAGGCTCATACCCAGAGCCACCTCATACAAGAGGCCTATCATGATTATTACGATTGTAAAAAAAAAAAACCTCCCCAAACTACTTTGCATGGATCTGTATAGTTTTCATATATGTCATGAATCTCTCTCTCTCTCTTTTTAATCTATGTACACATAACGTACACCAGTAGAGGATAAACTTCTTGAGGATGGGGCTGTCTCATGTTTGTATCTCTAGTACCTGGCACACAGTAGGTGATTAATAAATGCTTGTTGAATTTTCTACTCCCTTTTCTCTGTGTGTTCCTTCTCATCAAATTAACCTTGGTTGATTATTATGGTTTTATAATGGCCTGTTGAATTCAATAAAGATTAAATTATTGAGGAAACCCAAAATTCAAGAGATTTGGGAAAAGAATCTGTTCTCAAACTACAGCTCATTTGTAAGGTATATTATTTGAAGTAAGCTGTTATCTCAGAATGAAAGGGCATACTTTGTAACTACCCCCCTCCCCCCATTCCAGCACTGTGGAGACCCCAATCCCTGCCTTGCCTTCATCCATCCAGAGCTGTTCCTTGGATGAGGGTCAGGAACTTGTCCCAGGGCTTGAAATTTACAGGACAATGATGGTGTTTGTAGCACTTTAGGTACCCCCTTCCCCCCCCCCCCCAATTTGGCACCTAGAGAACAAGAATAGTTCATTAAAACAGGAAGCAGTGGATGAGCCATTTCCTCCCCACCTCCCTGCCTGCCAAGGTACCTCCCCACATCAGGCCTGGTTTGTTAAGGTCCCCTTCCCAATTAGAGGTGACCCTGGTCCATGATGCTGTGCCCTGAGAATACGGCATTCCACCCTGAGATGGAAAAAGCCCCTTAGACGGTGCTTCCTCAGTCACCAGGTGGCATTCTGGAGGAGTTGTCCAGGGCGTGAAATTGTGCAATCCTCGAGGATAGGAACGGCGCCAAGAGATCTGGCTAGGGCGTGAAGGGGTCTCAGAAGTCATCTAGCACACTGCCCTCATTTTACAGATGAGAAAACCGAGGCTTCGAAAGGCAAGATGACTTGCCCAAGGTCACACATGGAGGAAATGTCAAGAGGCAGGATTTACGCCCTATGACTCCAATGTCGGCATAGTTTTTCTACTTTGGATGTTTTAAATGATTGAATCACTCCATATTTTGCTAATGACATTCAGTGGGTTCAGATTCAGGCCCAGAAGTCTGTCTGAAGCATAGCTTTTATGTCAGACCCAAAAGGCCTTGAGCAAATGAACCAACCATTTTTCAGAAGTCAGATTCCAGGGATTTGATTAATTGGATCATTTGTTCATTTATTTGTTTGGTTATTTATCTACTTATATATTCATTCATTCATTCATTCATTCATTCATCTAGCTCTGAGCTAGATGAATGAATGAATGAATGAATGAACCAATGGATATATAGGGATTAGTTCTGTGAAATTTGGATTCAGTCAAATGGCTGCACTTAAGGACCTAGAGGGCCACATGTGGCCTGGAGACTGCAGGTTCCCCACCCCTGATCTAGTTTTATTTTTATTATTACATACCCTGATTTTCAGAAATATAGGGTTCATCTTTAAGTCACCTTTAGAATAACCAAGTGTTTGAAAGAAAGATATAGTAGATTGGGCTTAGGGTCAAAATTCATGGGTTCAAATCCTTGTTCTGACACTAATTGTGAAATCATAAGCAAATACTTATCTCAGTTTCGTTTTCCTCATTTATAGAATGAGGGTAATAATATCTAGCCCTCACAAGGCTGTTTTGAAGAATATGCTTTATAAACCTTAAAGGGAAATAGAAAAGCCCATCATTATTATCAGAAAGATTCCCCTGAGCTCATCACCTGGATAATAGATGGGAATTTCTAGCCTTTGAAAAGAACTCTTTGATAGATCTGGGAGCTCCTCCAGATGGGTAGTCCCTCTAGTGATGTAGGTGGCAACCCACCTGTGCCCTTTTGTTCCACATTTGTCCTTCCAGAGGTGTTCCCCCAAAATACTGGGGAGAAATCATAGAATTGTAGATATAGCACTAGAAGGGATCTTAGAGGCCACTCTTTTAACAGATGAAGAAACTGAGGTCCCTGGAGGTTCAGGGCTTGCCCAAGCTCACACTTTACTAAGTTGGGAGTCCGATTCTTAAATAAGTAAAATTATTATGTGGGAGTCAGATGTTCCTGGAAGACTGCTACACACAGTAAGAAGTAAATGTGAGGAGCGTGTTGCCTGCAGTATATGGTACATGCAGGAAATATAAATGGGTTTTTATTAAAGGTGATAATGAATTTCTGAAGGACAGAGACCTACCTAGAGCTAGTCCTAGTTGGGTGGGATCAGTCGTAGATTCAGAGCTGGAAGGCTCTAGGAGCTCATCTAAATCAGCCCCCCCCCACCCCCTTTTGTGGTAGGAAGGGAAGTCACTTTCACAAAGGTAGTAAGGGACAGAACGAGGACCGCACCTGGCTTCTCTGACTTCCGATTCAGCCCATATTCTCCCCTGGCTCTCATTGCCTTGGCCATTTTCATACCATAGAGTCATTCTATTAATAAATGCACCCATCTGGTGGACCGCCTTCTCTTTCCAGACTCAGGTTCAGAATCAGGACTAAGCCACCAGGGAGCCCCCTCTCTCAGAAGGCAGACTGACCCATGCATCTTTTAGCTGTGTCCTGTTTGGGGCTGTAAAGTCCTCCCCTCATACAGAGGGCAATTGCATCAGGCCTGATGACTCCTGGGGCTTTTATCTTCAGCTCCAGCCATTCTCCCCCTGTCCTTGTGGACCTGGAAGCCGCAGAAGGGGCCCAGCCATCAGCCGTATGGGTCCAGAATGTTGCTATCCCAGGGAGCAAGGAAAGAATTAAATTATTTTTTTCTGCCACATGGAGGCATAGGACAACCGTGGGATTTTTTAAAAAACTACCAAGACTCGATATTGGAGGCTGGGGCCTAACAGTTGTTTGATAAACACAAATGGCTAGCAATAGTGCTTCACAGGAAAGCCCTCACCTCTGTTTCTAATTCAGCATGTCTGATGAGCCCTGCTTTTGGAACCATCACGTTGAGAGGAGGCCAGAAAGGAGGGGTATCAGCTCTCCTCTGGAGTAGGACACAGGCCTTTTGGCTCAGTGGTCGTAGATTATAGGAGCATAAGTTTAGAACTGGCAGGGACGTGAGAGCTTGTAGGATAATAGCTAGCATTTATCTCATTTGATCCTCACAGGAACTCTGGGAGGAAGGTGCTGTCATCAGCCCCGTTTTACAGATGAGAAAACTAAGGCAGGCAGAGGTTAAGTGACTTGCCCAGGGTCACACGGCCAGTAAGTATCTGAGGCAGGATTTGGACCCATCTGAGGAAGACGCAATCATGAAGAGAGTTTTGAAAAAGTGATAGGGAGGTAGTTGCTTCCTCCTAAATTTGTCAAAATGTTTCCAAGTCTCAAAGGCAACTGAGAGCATTAAAAAGGATCCAGTGTGCTAGGGTCAGACCTGCTATGCTTGCTCATGCGGAAGTCAAGAGTCAAGTGTAGTGGAAATAAATCAATAGCAACTGTTAATAGAGTACTTTAAAGTTGATAAAACCACCTTATATACATGATTCCATTTGAGATTCACAACAACTCTGTGATGTAATAGCAATTATTATTATCCCCATTTTACAGATGAAGAGACTGAGGCATGAAGCCTAGTTCCAAGGCAAGAGTTGAAGACTGGACTGAGAAAGCTGAATGGAACCTGAGTAATTTGAACCAGACCTTAGAAGGCAGATAGGATTCTGACAGGTGTAGGAGAGAGGAGCAGGCATCCTATGCGGGAAAGAATGGTCAAAAGCCTCGAAGTGGCTAGTTGGGTAGAAAGAAACTGGCAAGGCAGGCTGAGAATAGATGGCAGAGGGCCCTGAATACCAGCTTAGAGAGTTCGGATCAATTACCAGCCAGATCAAGGGACTTAAATCATTTTTTTACTGAACTGGAGGGACCCTGGAAAGGCATGTAGCCCAACTCCAATGTTCTAGAGAGAAGGGACTTGAGACCCAAGAGAGCAAGTGAATTGTTTATGGTCCTAAGGCTAGTAAGTGACAAAGCTGGTATTAGAATGTGGGCAGACGGGTGGGGGGCCCTCCTGGCTCTAATTTCGTCTCCTGGACTTCCCATTACAGCTTCTTTCACTGTACTATATATATGTGTATGGATGGATATACATACACACGTATATAAATCTATCTATATTTATGTGTTCAGGGTCAGAAGGGTAAGAGTGGGGGCCTAAAGACTGATTTGGAAGCGTAGTCCAGCTTAGAATCAACCTGGGAGTGAAACCTTTTATTCTCTACATTTACCTTGATAAACCATTATCTAAGAAGCGTTATTAGGTACTTATTTATGTCTGGAGCTCTGCATTAGCCATTTCCCTGACAGAATGGATCCCTGCACTTTAAGAGTTAATGTTTTCGATTTGCAGGGCACTCTGTTCAGTTCAATTACATAGAACAACCTTTTCTCAGCTCTTACTGTGTATACACCCAGTATCCCAAAGGTCTTGTTGCAGTTTTAAGCTGCCTTCCAGGCAGGAAGAGGGGGAAAGAGGCAGAAAAAGAGGTTAGGCATCTGTTTCTTTAAAAACAACCAACATGTATTGATATCTTTTGTCTTTGCTTTGACTAAATTTGTCCCAAAGTTCCTTCCTTCTCCCCTCCCCGACAGCCAGAACTCTGTTGCATTAGACCAGGGTGGGGATGGAGAGGGTGGGAAGATGATAAGACTGGATAAGTAATGGGATGTGAGAGGTGATAGAACAGGTAAAGTGAAGGATTTGAACTTGGGAGATTGGGTTAACAATAGTGTCCTTGAAGTTGGAAAGAGAGGGAGGTTTGAGAGAGAAGATAGTAAGTTCTGTTTAGGACACGAGTTCCAGGTGCCATCTAGGTCCAGACATGTCACAGGAAGTTGGAGATATGGGTCAGGAGCATGGGAGAAAAGATGAGAACTTGGAGAGACCTCTGCCTAGAAATGAAGGGGCTGGAATCGATAAGACTGCTTGAAGAGGGCCAAGGACATCGCCTCGGGCACTTCAGAAATCCTGAGTCAGAATATCGAAAGAAAGCCTGGAGAATACTCATCTGCAGCTTTGGCAGCTACAGCACTGGCCAGTTGGGTTCCTCTTGGAGGCCCTCGAAATACTGGTTGATTGATCGATCGATTGATTGATTGATTGATTCACTGGATAGTATAGTAGTTGAATGCCCAGCAACATATGAATG